AAGAGAAGAGAAGAGAAGAGAAGAGAAGAGAAGAGAAGAGAAGAGAAGAGAAGAGAAGAGAAGAGAAGAGAAGAGAAGAGAAGAGAAGAGAAGAGAAGTGAAGTGAAGTGAAGTGAAGTTCAGGTTCAATGTAATTAATTTGTCTCTTTTCTTATACTGGAAGTGAAACACTCTCACCAGAGACAAAAAGTACTCTTCAGAGGAGGAAAACCTGAATTGGGTGCAGTGATATAAATCACAATTAGATATCTTTTTTCTTGTTAAAAAAAAATAATCACAGATTGGCAAACTATCCAGGGTATTTTGCTTCTTTCCACCCACTACTTGCTTGGATATGCTCTGTGACCTTGAATATGAATAAGCAGGTAAAGAAAATGAATGAATAAATGAATGTTTCTGCAGTGAATATGAAGGGAAATCACATTTCCTTCCTGAGAAAAAAATTAATACAGAATATCCGTCCATTAATCACATTTTTTCTACACCTGGTAATCCTATTCAGGGTTGTGGGTGCTGGAATGGTTGCAGCATGAACTGAGTAGGCTCCATCTCACACATGTAGATAAGGACTTTCACACTCACGTTCATGGCTTGTGTTGAAAACCTCTAGAGGAAGATAATGCTTCTTCTCCAAGGCCAGTTTCTTAGGTTATACTAAATACTTTATATAACAGTTGGTATCATGGAAATAATTGAATATCAAATTATGATGTTTGCTGTATGATCCAGAACAATAACAGAAGGACAATAAACTGTTTCTCCAGCAAAATACACACAATGCTGCACATCTGGCCACAAGTCTAGACAAAAGACAGAGCTCAATAGTTCCTGTTAGATCATAAATAGACTCCACAGTGGGACTGACATTTGCCAGATTTTCATTCTCACACAATTTTACCCAGGAAAGGTGCCTAACGCCTTACACTAAGCAGCGACATTCCTGTCTGCTGTGTATTATTTAAGGAAGAGACATTCCTGTCTGCTGTGTGTCATTTGAAAACAGTTTGTAGTCCGCAGCATGTTGAAGTCGTTATGCGTCGGTTAGTTCAGGTTTATTTATTATTGTTGAGATGAAAAAAAGAAATAGATCCAAATAACCAAAGCTCAGTCATGAACCAAAACAATCTTTCATAACTAGTCTAAGCGGTAGGGCAGGATAATTGATTTAATCAATATGTGACCCAGTGAAATATGATATTTGCTTTGGCCTGAATGGGCCAAATGAAATATGACACATAATTTAAAATGGCAGCAAGACAGTTTGTGCCTGTTACATAGTTGTGATTTGATCAAAGAGATGGAAAGGTTCTTTGACAAGGCTGCGTGGATGTGCCACCTGTCACCACATAGGCTTGGTTTTCAATTTAAATATGGTGTAAATAACTACATTTCAAAATAGTTATTCTTGATCAAATCAAGACTGCTGTCTGTAGCGTTAATCCTAGCAGCATTTCTTTCTGTTTATACACTGTACACTGTAAAAATAAATAAATAAAACACAAAATATTAAGTTGATATGATTCAATAGATTTTCGAGCTTTCTTAACTTGTTGCTAGCTTTGCTTTAGAACCTGATTTTTTTTTATTGTTCACCTAAGTACAACATTCCTGCGAGGTTAGCAATAAAATTCTGTATCAACAAGCAGAAATGTCTTTCCATGTGCTCTTTTATTTCCAGCAGCAGGCTGATCTGCATATTTGATTTGGCACGTATTTTTACACCAGATGAAACCCTCCCATTTATCCAGGCTTGGGACAGCCTGGGTTGTACACTAGCTTGTTACCCCCAGCACAAAGTTGGCTTTGTGCTTCCTCCCAACTGTGAATCATACCTTTTGCTTATGAGGTGAACATGCTAACCTTTTACACTATGGAAGCACACAATGTTTTTGCCAACTTTCACAGGTTTCCTCACCATTTTATTTATCCAGCATTCCTTAGACAAAAATATAGCAGCATAAATAGACGTGAAAGTTGAATGTATTTTGATAGTTAGAATGTTTAGCTAGCACATAAAAGGTCCCAAGTTCACAAACAGTGTGCTCTGACTGCTGGTGCAGCCCAGATAAATGGATAGCATCAGGAGGAGTGTCTGGTATAAAAATCAGTGCCAAACCTAAAATCTTATTAGCAAAACATTTGTAAAGTCAACAGCTGCAGTCACAAGGGGAGAAAACTCAAAACCGTACTGGACCTTGATATTTTCAGTTTTTCCATCTTTTTTTTCTTGTAAACTATAAATTCGTGCAATATTTTTTATTGACTTTGCCGTCGTAGACAAACTGTCTCCTTACTCTTTATTAGAGTTTAATTTATCCCTGCCTTTCATCTTGTGATATTGTTTCGGAGAATCTTTTCCCGTTACTCTCCACATATTTCTGAACCTCCAGAAATGTTTTGTTAGGACTACAATCCATTCAGAGTCATATATCCCACCGGTTTCTTTATTTTGGAAACTGGAGGTTCTTATTATTTATTACATGAATATCTATTTTATGTTTTTTTTTATTCATGAGATATATTAAAGTGAAGGAAAATATCGCTGATGTTAATGTTAACTCACAGGTGCATTCTCATCTCATCGTCTCTACATCTTTATTTTCCTACATTTCTCACTTGTAGAGGTCAGTTTTAGGTTTAGAGGTTATAAATTCTGGAATGATTTTTATCCCATCTGTTAATATTTGCTTTGTAACTGCTTTGCAAGGCAATGTTGTTCATGTTTCAGCCATAGCAACAAATATCATTTCTACTGAACAGCTATCAGCTGAGATGCATGAACTAATATTTCTGTTATCAACACACATTTAAATACCTACAAACAGTTATATACTGTATTTTATTTTCGTAATTGTTGCTATATATTTAAAAAAATATTAATTATTCTTATTATTCTTAGCTTGTTGTCGCATATATTAAGGCATATTATCTACTGTATGATAATTTTGCGTTTCTGCATAATATTTGCAAACATTTACATTTTAAGTAATAACAACAATGACTATAATTACAAATGAAGTGGAGGCTTCAAAATAAATACAATGCACTGTTTATTTGTTATGTTTGTTATTTTTAGTGAATTTCAAATGGTACGAAACAATAAATTGACACTGATATTAAAAGTAGTTCAGTGTTTGACAGCAATTAAACACGGGTTTAAACGAAAATTAGTCTGTGTGCAGCGCTACATGGATGATTGCTTGTCATGTTGATTGGAACTAATTTCTAGACTTCATAAACAAATGTATAATTGTCAGCTTTTGGATGCTACCCAACTAAAAACTCTACTAAAAACTCCAAAAAATTCTTGCCCATCCCTTTCTGTCCCCCACTCATGTATTGACCCATGTGCCTGTTCATCTTAGCCGCTATGATGCCTGACAGGAGCTTCCACGTGGTGCTGAGGCAGGTTATTGGTCGGTAGTTGGAGGGGACCAGTCCCCTCTGGGAGTCCTTGAGGGTCTGGACTGTCTGGCCTTCGGTTAGCCATTCTGGGTGTCTCTCGTCAACTAGCAGCTGTTTCATTTGTGCTGCCAGACACTCGTGGAGTGCAGTAAGCTTCTTCAGCCAGTAGGCATGAACCATGTCGGGGCCTGGTGATGTCCAACTCTTCATATTGGAGACCCTTTCTTGGATGTCTGCCACTGTGATGGTTACTGGACCCTGTTCAGGGAGGTTGCTGTGGTCTGCCCTCAGATCCACTAGCCACTGAGCATTGCCGTTATGGTTGCGTCCTTCTCCCATATGCTCTTCCAGTATTGTTCCGTCTCCAGCCTTGGTGGTGCTGTTCTCATATTGTTCCCCTGCCACTGAGAGTACACCTTGGCTGGTTCTGTGGAGAACAGCTGGTTTATTCTCCTGCCTTCTATCTCTCTGGTGTACCTCTTCAAGCGGCTGGCCAAGGCTGTGAGTCTTGCTTGGCAGTTTCCAAGGCCTCAGGTATGGACAGCTTCCTGTACTTCTTAGGCACCTTCCTCATCGCGCCTTTCTGCAACTCCGATAGTTGGCTAACCTCCCTCCTTGTGCTACCTTGATCTTAGCCTCTAGCCTCCCTCTCCATGGAGGGTACTGCCCCTTGTGGCTGTTCAACTTGTAGCCAAGCATGGTAAATGGTAAATGGCCTGTATTTATATAGCGCTTTACTAGTCCCTAAGGACCCCAAAGCGCTTTACATATCCAGTCATCCACCCATTCACACACACTGGTGATGGCAAGCTACATTGTAGCCACAGCCACCCTGGGGCGCACTGACAGAGGCGAGGCTGCCGGACACTGGCGCCACCGGGCCCTCTGACCACCACCAGTAGGCAACGGGTGAAGTGTCTTGCCCAAGGACACAACGACCGAGACTGTCCAAGCCGGGGCTCGAACCGGCAACCTTCCGATTACAAGGCGAACGCCCAACTCTTGAGCCACGATCGCCCCATCTCACTGATCACTGCTGCCGTATTGTAGATCAACTTGTTAGTGTCGGTAATCGTGGTTGTAGGTATCGTCCGTAGTGCTGCATTAACATCATCTAGCAGACCTTCTGAGGGTACTTCACGTAATCTTGGTAACCGGCTATGGGGGATCCAGGTTTCAAGCTTGGCCATGATCCTATTTTTCAGGTCAGTTCCTCTCGCACTCAACGATCCTTCTCCTATCGCACTTGGGGCTATGTACATATCTATATGTATATAAAATATATATATATATATATATATATATATTATAGCGGGTCAGGGCTGTTCGGGGTTCTGTTTGTACAGTTATGTTTTGTTTATGTTGCCATAGTGACGGGTGACGCCCTCTCGCTGCGACGGTGTGTCCTTCCGGGGTCAGAGGGCGCCCTGTGTGTTGTTGTTGTTGTTGTTGTGCGGTTGCCGCGCTGAGCAGTTAGCTAGCGGCAGTGTTCTTCTGCAGATGTCAATAAACGGCTGTGCTCCCTGGCTAGCTCACGGGAAGCAAGACCAAACGACACCTCCGTCTCCTCCTTGTCTGAGCTCGCCACATTGGTGTCAGAAGTGGGATGATGGTGGCACCCCATGTTCTGACCCGAGTGACTTTTCCCCCGCCGGTCGTGACCGGCCGGTGCGCCAAAAGAAGGCACCTGGACATTTGCAGGACTTTGTGTGGGGTAATGGGGTCGTCGGGGACGACTGACCCCTTAGGTGGGGGCTATGTAGCGGGTCAGGGCTGTTCGGGGTTCTGTTTGTACAGTTATGTTTTGTTTATGTTGCCATAGTGACGGGTGACGCCCTCTCGCTGCGACGGTGTGTCCTTCCGGGGTCAGAGGGCGCCCTGTGTGTTGTTGTTGTTGTTGCTGTGCGGTTGCTGCGCTGAGCAGTTAGCTAGCGGCAGTGTTCTTCTGCAGATGTCAATAAACGGCTGTGCTCCCTGGCTAGCTCACGGGAAGCAAGACCAAACGACACCTCCGTCTCCTCCTTGTCTGAGCTCGCCACAATATTAAACATATCAGGTCCCCATAAGGAGAATCATGTGCTAACGGCTGTCTAAATGACTCGGGTAAAGTTTGTAGCATGCATGCTTGTTGTTTTTGTCTGCTTCCACTTGTCTTTGCACTAGGATGATGTCGGTAAATGTGCAGTCATATTCGTTGTGTTCCCACTAGTGCTGTCAGCGTTAATCTCGTTGAAATGACGTTAACGCCACAACACGGCAAATCTCCGTTAACGAGCTACCCCTGATCGCCCCGTGCGTGGGGCTAGACGGCCAACACGTTAACGAGCTAACTGCGCTAACACACTAGTTCCCACCCATGTAATTGAGCATTGCGTGGCACATCCAACATACTGTTTTACTTTAGTCCATGACGCGCTTACCTTCAGGGTCATACGTCACATGAAAACCAAAATAATTCCAAACGCCAGATCTGAATGAGGGTGGGGGAGGTTCAATTTGCCATGTTGCAAGGAGAGCTTAACTTCTGTCTCGCTAGCTTGCCCTGCGCTCTTCCTTCTGACGATGCTGTCTGTGTTGAGCGCTCAGTGGATCTGCGCTCGACAGTGCAGCCTAGGCGGAGTAGTCGAACGCAGATTCACTGAGCGCTCAACACAGACAGCATCGTCAGAAGGAAAGTTGATAAAATAAATTACAAATTTTGTATTGTTCGATACATATGCGTACCGAACCGAAAGCACTGTATCGAACGGTTCAATATCGATACGAGTATCGTTGCACCCCTAATATATATATGTTTTCATGTGAGAAGACTGAAATGGTTTCTACTGGACTGATTTCCAGAAATTCCTCCCCTAGTAAGTGAAAATTTTAGATAGTCATCTCACACCGAGCAGGTACCAAAGAGCAGCAGTACTCTGAAGTCCCAGCTGTGTACAGGTTGTCCCACCTAGCACCCAAAATAATCTCTATTGTGCACATCCTCTAGAATCATTTTCACCTCCCCCCCCTCTCACCACAATAAGAGAGTCTGAAAGTATGAAAATCATTTGACATGTCAGAAGTAGGCTGCAGATGTCACACACAACAAGGTACTTACCTCCTCAAGGACATCAGCGAGCTTGCTCAGAATATCTTCCTGTAGGCCGTGGAATGAGGGGACGCTGCAGAAGAAAAAAGAAGGGCTTTTATATGAGAGAATACACAGCTTCACGCATAGTGAATATTACTAATTAGCCCTCTGTTTTTTTCTAGATAAAAAAGATGTAGGAAGCAGTGTAGCTGGAGGCTTAGTATAAAGCTGAGGGAAGAAAGCATATCCTTTTGGAAGCTGTGAGCAAAAATAAATAATAAATTTGAAAAATCTTGATCCTCTTTGAAAAAAAAAACCCTGAAACATAAAGTTGTCATTTTCATATTTTACATGTCTTTTAAAAAAGTAAGAACTCAAAAATTTCATGAAACATTTGACAGGTTTGTTGGTTGCATGTGCCTACAATCACAATGAGTCTGCATAAATTTGCATTAACATAAATAACATTAGAGAGAAAAGTCACTTTAACTTAATGTTCCTGAAAGGTTTATTCGGGCTCATTCAGACATACCTACACAGTCAGGAAGAGCACCTGGGATCTCCTATAAGGGCAATATTTGCTAAATGTACAAAAGACAACTTGCACTTGGGGCCTTGAAAATCTCTTACTTTTATCACAAGCTACAAAGAATTTGAACAATGACGTTTTTAGTGAGCTGTGCAACTCATATTCATCATTTAAGGTGATTATGTGCTGTTCAGACATGCTGAAAGGGACACAAAGTGTGAAAAAGTTGAACTGCTCTCCTGACTTTTACAGAAAAGTGGCCAGGGTGCTCATTCAGACATGAAGGTGACACATTCATATGCTGTAAGGGGATTGAAAAAGAGTGCAGGTGTTTGGGTACAGTGGATACGTGTCATGCAGCCCTAGAATGTTCACAGAGAAAAGCTGTCTATCATCTTTCGAGCACAGTGTTGAAATTGTTATGATTTGCTTTGCTGCTCCAGGGATTGATTCACTGATTCAGTTTTGCATCAAATGAAAGAGTGCTTTAAGATAATGTGCTAGGCCATCTGTCCAAAAGTGGAAGCTGAAACTGCCCTTTTCAAGAGGATGCTTATCCTAAGCACGCTAGCATATTCACCAAAGAAAAGGTGAGTTATGGAGAGCCTCAGTGAAAGATCAATTGTGGGTGCATGCACACAAAAAAACGCCTACTTAAATGAGTTATTTCTGTTTAAGAAGAAACTATTGTAATACTTCTTAGGCCAAGGGTGTACTTCCTTGGCCACAGTATTACAAATTATAAATATGACTTGTTGCCAAAACTAAATGTTCTATTAGTGTTAAGTATTTCATTTTATCTGTAGGCTCCGTGTCAAATGTTTGTTCTCCAAATATGTCATACTGTTTCAACAGTGGATATCAACAAAAGTTCACCAGAAATAGAGGATTTGAGTAGGAGCACTTCCAGGATTCAGACTGTTTTTGTTTGAGGTGCCCTTTGGATAGGATACACATAAGCAATCAAAGAGCTCAGAGACACTCTCTTTCAACTAAGCATCAAAATGTCTTCATTCTCATGGCATGATTCGGTTTAACCTAGAAAAACAAAAACAAAAATTCATCTTGTTATACAAGCCATCATCTAGATGTTAGTTTTCCTGGAAAGAATTGCTTTTATTTCTGCTAGTTTTTCCACCACTTTAAGCAGAACATAAAACAGCTGCATTGGTCCAACACAAAACATGCACTCAAATAAAGGCTCTAAAATTGTTAGTTGTCAGCATATTTTTTAATGTTTTATTCTATTGGCTAAATGCTATCATGTGACTGTCAAGTTTTTGCTTTTTATTGCTTCCTGTGTGGTATCATTATTTTTTTCATCCTATTTTTAGACATACTTTGTTCAATCACAGCATGACTTTGATCTGAGAACCAACAAACAAATTCAGATATAGGCAGCAGGAACACTCAAAATCTGTATTTTTCTATTGTATGGCCTGTATTTTAGTACTATTTTCCAGCATAAATGGGCAGCATGAGTAGTTACACAGCTGGGCATCACATCCTACGGTTGAATACGCCAGTATGAGCCCGTAGTGTTTGTTCCATTACTTCCTGGCAGCCTGAATGAATGCTGCCTGCTATCAACCCTGCTAAATAAAACTAGCCTAATGTTTATCAAGGAGGAGAGAAAATAACCCCGCGTTGGTGAACAAAGGGCTTATCTCCCCGTATCGTCTCACTCTCTCGCTCTGCCTCTCTGTTTCTCCATCTCCCCTCCCCCTTAATTTTCCATGCTTTATTACAGTAATCTAAACCATCTTGTCACGGCCACTGTGCTGATCCTTGTGTTACTGCTTCCCCGACAAAGGCACTGGTTAACCAGCTCAGCAATGAACACATGACACTTACTGTACATGCAACAGAGAGAGTTTCAATCCCCCGAGCTGAGAAGCTGTTGACACAAACAAAAGGCGTCTGTCGCAGTAAATTTCTGATTCAACAGCTTAATTATGTTACAGCTGAGTAATTACACAAGGCCTGTGGGGAAGTGTGGATCTGCCATGCAGTTATAAAAGCATACCATTTTAAACAATTTTCTATTAGAATCCTGTAAACACCTACAAATAGGTACTGTTTTCCTGATAGCTGGACTTTTATCTGAAGTGAAAGGGGACAGAGATCTCAATAAAAGCCCACAATACATCAGTTCATAGAAATGTGCATTTTCTAAAGCTGGGCGAGTTTTTCAAAAAAGCTAAGCTTTGAAATTACTTTTCCTGGAGCGACTCAATAAGAAACTTAAAACACAGGCAGGTAACGAATTAAAGGACAAACTAACTTAGGTTGAGAAATACAAAAACACTAAATGGTTTGATGGGAATAAAAATAATTAATGTGCTATGCACTTCATAGTTACCAGACTATCCACAGAGACTAATATGTTAGACAATGCTCTCTATAGCATTATTATTAAAACATCAAAAGGAATTATCTTCTGAAAAAATGCAGCTCATCCCTTCAGTAAAGTACCAGAGATTCAGAGTTGTTCAGAATCATTATCAATGCAGATTTAAGCTTTTGGCTCATCATCTTACTTAAACATATCATTTTGTTTTTCCTTTCATTTGTCACCTGTCTGTACATGTAAAGAAAAAATAATAAAACAATCTTCACAAGCGCGCTCAATTCCCCCGTGCACAACGTGGGGCTTTCTTTGCCCGTTTTTCTTCTTCTCTGTTTGTCAGAATAATTCTATAATTTCACAGCAGTTAAACGGGTGGGCACAAAACTCACGGTGACCAATATGTGTTTATTACTTTCATTAGATCTGTTTCTAGGAAATTAAACAGGAACATAATTATCTGTGTGCTGTGAGTTTGCAAACACTGTTATAAATCTCAGATTTCTCCCCCCAGGTATCCCTTTACAAACCAAACACACCAAGGGATCCCAAAACAACCAGTACGTACACCTATTAAATATTTACTTAGTCTATCAGTCGGACTGTTACATAAGTCCTCCTGACAGGCAAGAGCTGTTATACTGAACAGTGTGTGCTAATATACTCAGCAGAGGGACTGCAAATGTTTGCGGTCTTTATTAGTAAACGATATCACTAAAATAGATTACATCTTAGATGAAATATTAATAGGGCTCCATATGTGGTTAAAATAGATTCTTGGTTGTGTTTGTCTTAAAGTCTGGCTTTATCATGAAACTGCACTCCAGATAAGAAATGAATTTATTCTGAGTGACCAGCGGGAGACTGTCCTTAAAAAAAGAAAAAAAGTCATGCTGTTCAAAAGCTTTGCTGACTTGCAATATCTTTGTGACTGCAGGGATACTGACTGTCCTATTTTAAGCAGGGGAAAAAAGCAGTCGTTACAGTTAAGCTGCAAAATGTTTTTGGTTTAACTGAAACTATCAAAGAGACTTCCTGTTCAAAAATTACATTTTAAACTAAAATTAAAAAAAAAAGATTTCTTCAAATAATTATTCACTGAGGAAAATATGCTTTAAATAACCTGAATGTATACCAGCATTGTGTCTATGTTGCATAATTTGCATCTAATTAAATTTGTTAAAGACAACATTTTCTACCTTTTTTTTTTTTTTTAAATTGTTTGTTTTTATCCAAAACATTGAGCCTTAGCTAAAGATTATGTTTAAAGTAACTATACTTCCATTACTGTACACTGTGAAGTTGCACAGTCATAGTTGAGTTAATTCTACAACAGCAGAATTGATTGTTTTGGAACATACTGACATACAACTTGCTTTGCAATTGTTAGAAATACCTTGTAAAAAGCTTCCTTCCTGTGCACTGTGCCCAATACTTAAAATAGCTCGTACTGCATCTCTCTCAGGACTGACAGAACCTGATCATGATCACAGTGATTCACAAGGTTTCCTCGGGAGAAGAGTCTTTTAGAGAGAACATGTGCCTTCGTGATTTGGAAGATTTATACAAAATTGTGGCAGAGTGAATGGATGAGAGGACACAGATCAAATACCGACTCTGCCAAAAAAGTCATGATAAAAAAACAAAAAATAGTGTGGGGTGCACGCAGCAGAGTGAAGGTATGATATAATTTTAATAACTGGGTTGATGAAGCTCAAAGTGGATGACAGTAAAAAAGAAGCTGAATGCAGAGAGAGTGAGATATTTAAAAGGCAATTGCATCTCATGCATTTTGATCATTGGCTGTCTTTTGATGCCTCTTCCTTTTATCCTATACCTCATGCAGGACCCCGAAAAAGCATGCGCAGGTCTTTTAAGTGTTAATAGGTTTGGCAATAGAGAAGTGATTATTGGTCAGGGCCCTCTGATACAGATAAGTACTGAAAACGATGATGGTGATACAGTTACAAGATATTTTTCTAGTATGTTGAATGATATTCCCTATGCTGCACTAGAAATAATTGCTGAGTTATATAATTATTGGCAAAATGGAGGAGTAAGGGATCATCTGCGAAACAGCTCACACACATTTTCCTGAATTCATTTTGGTAATTCATTCATTGCTTTTCAGATCAAAGACCTGTTCCACTCTTCTGCCGCTGCTGGAAAATTTGCCTTGCTTCCTTACCTTTTCAGAAACTCCATATACTCTGTGTGCTTGATTAAACCCGTCCTCATCATGATCGTCTGAAAACATTGTCGGTCAATGGCCCACAATTTCACATTTGTTAGAGCTGGAAAGAAGAACACACATGATTAAAATGAACATTAGCAATGTCGTGGCAGACAGTTTTCGTCCTCCAGCAATTAGAATAATAAAACAGCACACATAATGCAAGGCCTGCAAAAGCTTCATGCTCTGTGCGTGCAACATGATTATCACAAATGTTGTATTCACTTGAAATGAGGAAGGAAATGTAGGTGTGTTGAGGTATGTGTTGGTGAATTTTAACTAGCTATAGCAATTTATCGGTTGTTAAGCTTAGTTACCTTAGTGGAAATAATCTTCATCCAAATGTTTTATCTAACCTCTAATCTAGAAACAGCAAATAGCAGCTATTCTGCACAATTACTTTTTACTCAGCAATTTGGAGTTAATTGTTATTTTTGGAATGCCTCACATGCATGGCTTGCTTGAGGTCATGCTGCAGGAATTTAATTGGTTTAAGGTCAGGAATGTGAATGCCCTCTTTTTTTTTTTTTTTTTCTTTAAGAGAGTTACTGATTGCTCTTTGTGTTAAGGGCAATTATCAAACTGTAAAACAAAAGTTACAACTTTGAAATTACAAGCAGCTATCCCAATACCCTTCCTACCGAAACAGTTTAGACTCAATTAATTGTTTCCGAAATGATTGCAATATGCGCAAGCCCTGAGGCTTCAATGCATGGAGTGAAGGTGACGTGTTGGCATGCAGTTTTTTCTTAAAAACTTTAGAAATATATGCTTCATTTGACCACAGAGCTCTGTTCCACAGAGAATCCAGCTCTTCTGAGACTAGGATAAGGTGAGCTAAGATGATTTGTCTTTGGATGGCAGTGGTTTCAGCTGTTTTATCTTTCCATGGGTACTCTGATGTGTGTAAGAGATGGCACAAATGCAGTACAATGCAATGCTTTTGACACTTTTTTGAATAATACATGCAACCTGACAGAACTTTTGCATAATATCTAGACCTTCAAAAAGCAAAAGTAGCATCAAATTGAATTTTTTTCCACTTTTTCCATGTTTATTCCTGGCCGTTGATTGATTGAGGCCTGGGTCTTTCACCATTCCTGTCATTGACATTTTCAGTGCTTTGAGCTTCAACGCCTCTTTCTCTGAGGTCCTTTGTAGACACTTTTGATCTGAATATGTTTTACTTCAACAGATCCCTGTCATGAAGAGGAGTCTCTGTTGAAAACCAGGCCATGAGGGATTTCATCACAGCAATGGACCTCTAACCCAATGAATGTCATTATATTTTACCATTCAGACCCGTTTCACAGAAGAATTGAATTGTTGGGCCAGAAAATTAATAACAAAAACTAAAAAAAAAAAACCCCAAAAAACACAGATTTCATCTAGCTTGGCCACATTGTGCAGTGACTCTCAGGATTCAATACTTCATTTTGTAAATAGCAGTTCCTGATAATTATTTCACAACTGGTTTCTCATGATTGCAAGTATCATTATCTTCTGCAAGAAAAGACTTCAGTGCTTCAATTGTGCAGCCGTGCAATTGATTATGAGCACTACAGAGAAAGAAATCCACAATCTGGCCCATCCAGAAATAGTGTAAATCTCCAGGGAGCCCTCCGGCCACAGGGACATGTGGTAACATTAGAAAAGAATACATCAGATAACAATCGGCTTAGTATTTTATCAGTGTGTATGTGTGTGCCTGAAAATGCAGTGTGACCCTTCTGTGCAGAGATTTAAAGATATAAGATCAAGTTTTGTTAATAATGGTGTTGTGTTTATTGATTAGAGACAAAATACTTTTCACTTACTGGCACTAACAGAGAAGTCAGTGTGCAGGCTTAGCTGCAGAACAGCGCGTCTGCAGCTAATAAGGATTCAACGTGTCACTGCAGGAGTAGTTTAACACGTACAGTGTATGTGTGACACTTAATAAATGTGATATGCATTCACTCACACACACAGTCACACAGACACACACACACAGGAAACTAACTTTTGTGTCAACAAAACAGTGTGCTTTTTTAGGGGAATATTTTATAGATTTTAGTGTTTTTATATGAGGAAAATTGCTAGGGTACACATCACAAGTTAGGCAAGAACTGCTGAGAATAGCTGAGATTATTAGGATGATGAAAAAAAGTGACTTCAGTACAAATGCACTTGCAGCAATACAACATCAATCTTTGCACTGCTGTTGAACTGTAAGTGATAAAAACATGTAAGTTTATGAATTTACTGACCCAAATTCAGATTTTTATACCCACATTCGAGCTAGCATACTGGACTTCTCTAACAAATTAGAAATTAATAAAGCATAACCTTTAACTAAAATTAATTTTTCTGTTCAAGAATGGAAGAAAATCACTGTCAATTTACATATTAATCAAAAAATAATAATGTATTAACTGTTTTTTCTGCTTTTTTTAATGAATAGCAACAATGACGATGTTTTTGCATCAAAAATATAATTTCAATTAAAGAGCTCACTGGTGGATTAACCATGAGGGAAAGATGAAAAATAATTTGGGTAATAATCAATAATGTTACTTTAGTTAGGGCATCTCTTTGTGTGTGTGTGTGTGTGTGTGTGTGTGTGTGTGTGTGTGTGTGTGTGTGTGTGTGTGTGTGTGT